CAGAAGTTTCTTCAGCGAAACTCTCTAGTTGCGCTTAACACATGGCAAGGGCGAAAGGCAAACACCTTCACCTCGCCACAGGGCAGCTCTCAGATAGATTTCATCTTGACATCCAAATTCTATGCTGCTCAGCTAGCCCGCAAAGTGTGTGTCCTCAAGGACTTTAAGCTAGGAGCATGGAGAAAAGGCGGCAAACACACGCCACTCCGGACGGCAGTACCGCTCAAGAAGGTCTGGAGACAACCGTTCTCGACCAAAACTCAGCCAGTAGTCCCTTCTAAACAAAAGTCCCTACTGGCTCAACATGTTAGACAAAATACTCCTCTGGCTAAAACCCTGCGAGACCAAGTTGCACAGGACGTTGACAAACTCCGAGCGCAGAAGAATGGAGAGCCTCTTCACCCTGATGAGGTCAACGAGCTTCTTCTCGAACATGCCAAGACCTTCCAACCGAGGGACCCAGGAGCAGGCACCTCAGACGCGGCTCCGACAGCACAACCTCTGTGGCGGCTTCATAACAATCGGCAGACTGCACTAAGGAACCTAAGACGTGAGGATGACGTCATAAATAAGATGGCCCGCACCGAGCACCTCAAACAGGCTCAGCGCTCACTAGACGAGGCAGCCAAGACACATGCCCTCCAGATAAAAAATCAGGCCCGAGCAAGGACTCATCGCACTCTGACAGAGATTTCTGAGAAGGTCAAACGAGATCCACATGCGGCATATCGCTCTTTAAAACATGTAGCTCCCTGGTCTCCTGCACCTAGAGTCTGCCTCAGATCGCCATGCGGCCGTATCCTAACTGAGTCCGAGGGGCTAGCCGAGCTAAAGAGACACAGTCTTTCCATCTTCTCCTCGCATCCCCCCCTAGCCAGTGGGGTAGGCCAAGCCTTGCCCAAGCTGGACAAAAGCAGTCTGGCAAAAGGCATAGCCTCTATAAAGCCGGAAAAGGCAGTACCGCAAGGATCTGCCCCAGCATCCATGTACCGCCTCTGTGCCTCAACAGTGGCCGATAATTACTGTGACTATCTTGAAGCGATGCCTCTGTCTCCCGCTCTGACCCATCCGGCGTGCGAGGTCACCTCCTGCCAGGGGAAGAGCGAACCTCGGCATAACACAGCACCACTGAATCAAGCCGAGCCACCCTCGCTGCCTACAACGGCCAAATCAGCAGACCTCAGCTTCATACCCAAGCCCTCTAAACCTGCCTCTAAGCCGGAGAACTTGCGACCGCTAGGCATCATTAGGCCAGATGGCAAAGGCATAGCCTCTGAGGCTAGGAGACGGCTTGACCCCCTTTTTAAGAAGGCCCACTTTGCCTCCCCTCAATTTGCCTATATTCCAGGCCGCGGTATCGCCGACGCCCAACTCCGGGTGATTGGCCACGCAAGGCGTGTCCGAGCCATGCTTCGATCCCGAGCACCGGACAGGTTCTGCACTCCCAAGCGCAAGCAGGGTAAGCCAGATCTGATTGGAGGCTTCACCTTCTCACTAGACCTCTCTCAAGCTTTTGACAAAACAAGTAGAGAGGCTCTCTTGCGCTCACTAATAACTTACGGGGCCTCACCCGCAGACGTTGAGCTGGTTGCGTCCCTTCATAGGGAAGCCCAGTATAACTTGCGCTATGGAAGAAGCCAGGACACAGTCACCTCAACAAGAGGTATAAAGCAAGGCTGCAAACTAGCCCCCTCTCTCTTCTTTCTGGTCATCACGGAGGCGTTCCGGCTTATGGCTACCCACATAGGGTTCCCTCCCATACAGCAGTTCCTCACAGGTTTTGCGGATGACCTCGTCATTCACCGTGACATCCACAACTGGTCCGATCTCTACGCGGCTCATGACATGGTCAGATTGTTACTGCATTACCTGCAAGAAGCCGGACTAGAAGTAAATTATGCCAAGTGCAACATCATGGTCAAACTAGCAGGTCGCCACGCACAGCATGCCAAGAAGCTCTTCAAGTCACAGGAACTCCGCTCAGGCCGGAAGGTTACGGTCTGGAACATAGATGCCCCAGAGCAACCAAGACGGCCAATTCTGCTCTCGACTTCCTCTGTTCTTCCCCCTCTCCCCTCCCTTCCTTCCTTCGAACTGGTAGACTCCTTCAAGTATCTAGGGGTTATGGTCAGCTACTCAAACCCGGAAGATCTTACTTATTCCTTAAGACAAGAGAGAGCGGCGAAGAAAAAACAGACTGTGCGCAAATTCATTCACAATAAGCGCAGGACAAAAACCGCATCTAGGCTGCTTGTCTGGAGAGCCACCGTCTGGTCCACGGCCACTTTTGGACTTGAATCCGTCGGTCTCTCAGGAAGGCGGGCACGGGCACTCTAGACAGGTGCGAGCTGTAACACACAACCCTGTGCATAAAACTCGTGAAACTACAGCAGAGCTCTTTGCACGTCTTAAACTCGTCTCTCCCATTCAGCAGCTTCATGATCGCTCAGCCCAGCGCCTAGACTCCCTTCGCAAGCGCCGGCATGCAGCACCAGCAAGT